AATATTCTACTATTCAGCAGAAGCAGTTTATACTAGCCCATCTGCCACTGAGGATATAGAGACATGCCAAACTTTTATATATGGATAATCCTCAGAAAATGTAATAAAGGCCAGAGGGACAGAGCCTACACTCCAGCAGTATGGGCTGGCTCTGGCCCAGCCCTTGCCCTGACTGATTCTAGTCCAACAGCAGCCATAGTTGTTGATAATGTTTCTTTCCTAAAGACATACACACATGTGGGGTTGGGGTATAGTTCAGTGGTAGAGTGTGTGCTTAGCATGCAGAAGACCTGGGATTCAATCCCCAGCATGCATGTGTGCATGTGTGTGTGCATGCACACACACATACACACACACACAAAGAATTTTTGAAATTAAAGATATGTAGCTGGGGCTGGGAATGTGGCTCAAGCCGTAATGCTCTCGCCTAGTATGCGCGGGGCGCTGGGTTCGATCCTCAGCACCACATAAAAATAAAGACGTTGTGTCCACTGTAAACTGGAGAAAAAAAAAAAAAAAAAGACATGTAGTTGGGCATGGTGGCACACTCCTGTAATCCCAGCTACTCAGGAGGCTTAGGCAGGAAGAGAACAGGTTCAAGGCCAACCTGAACAACTCAGCAAGATCCTGTCTCAAATTAAAAAAAAAAAAGATTGAGGCTGCTGCTGGGTAGTAGAGCACTTGCCTGGAATGTGCAAGACCCTGGTTTTAATCCCTAACACTGCAAAAAATAATAAATAGATTAAGAAATTAATAAGCAAATAACAGATGCATGGTTAAACAAAACAAGAACAAAATACCTTACCCTGCTACATTGCTCCTGCTTGACCCCTCCATCCCAATTCTCCTTCATCTCAGGCCCCTACCCAGAACCTAAAGCACAAACTGGACTGGACTGGCACATTCTGAGTTCCCCAGAATTTGCCTTCCTTCCTCCTTGACTGCCCACACTGTTCCCTCTCCAAAATTGCCTTCTCCTCTCCTCTGATGAACTCCTACAGGCCTGTCTGTCCTCAGTTCCTGCCGCCTCCCTCCATGAGGATTGGAAAGTAGGACTGACTATCCCAGAGCTTGGAAAAAGAACAAAATAGGCAACAAATTCAGCAACTCAAGGAGGATTAAAGCTGGCCTGAAGAGGCTGGCGGAACTGAAACTGGCCTGGAACACCTAGTTGGAAAGCTCCAGATAATCTGGTGAGTGCTAGGGATACAGTGGTCAGATCTATGTAGACCTGGGCTGGGAAGAGGCTGGGCTGCAATTGCCAGGATGAGGCAAGGAGTCAAGGATTGGGGTGGGAGATGAGGCTTTGTCCAGTCTCCCCAACCTAGGGAATCTTCCAATCTACACTTCCGATGAAAAAATAACCATGCTGCTGGGGACATCATTCAACATAGATCAGATGATGGTCATGCTGTACCAGCCTCTCAATGTTTACTGGGATTAGTTATTTAAAATGATGTCTCCCCAACAGGAAATCCACCTCAGCCTTTAGGAAAAAGGCCAGAATCTTGTTTCCCACCAGAACAAAGTTCAGCGAGGGACCTTGTAGACATCAGACTGGCCTCCAGGGGGCAATAGTGTCAACCCCAACATTAGCTATTGAAGTTCCTTATTTTCTTAGCTAAAAAAGGACCTTCAGCCAGCACTGAAAATCACACCATGGAAAACACACAGCCACAAAAGCCCTATGGGATGGAGAATGCCTGTAATCCCAGAAACTGTAAAGGCTGAGGCAGGAGGATGGCAAGTTCAAGGCCAGTCTTAGCAGCTTAGTGAGACCCTCAAAACTTAGCAAGACACTGTCTCAAAAAAGTTCTAAGGATAAATTCCCATTAATTTGGTCCTCAGTACCACAAAAATGAAATAAAAATTAAAAAAGGACCTGCATACCTCTTCTTGGAAACCCTAGGGTGATAGAAGTAGGGAACGGGAAACTGACAGAAGGGAGTAAAGGTAAAGAAGTCCAGGACAAGCTTGCTGCATGGTGGGGTGCTCCAGGACTGGAGGTGCCTAGGGATTCATCTTTCCCAAACTATATGCTGATTCCTGTTACTGCTTCTCCAATCTCAACCCCCACCCTATTTTGGGGGTGTCTGCTGGATCTGGAGTCTCTCAACTACCCCAGGTCACCTCACCACATTTGGTACTGTAAAGGCTGCTAGAATGCTGTTGCCTTTCTAAAATGAATCTTGGGGCAAGATCAGGACAACAGGCTGCCCAAGGCTTAGAGCCTTCCTGGGTCCTCCTGGGCTCTCTAGTCCACATGCACCAACCCCAAACTGGAGGACCCTTTATGAGGCACTTTTCCTAGACTGCTTTTGTTCTATGAAGATCTTGCATCTTCTGCCCTTTGGGACAGCAAGAACCTTGAGCCCAGACCCCAGGGCCAAGAGTGTCATGATAAAATTGCCCTATATCAGGGACTGTACTTGTACCATGTCAGAATGTCTCTTGAGGTTATCAGCCTCCTCAGGCCCCCACTGTCTTGGCCCCACAGTTTAATCACTGGCACCCCAAACTCAGCAGCCTGCACCCCACTTCCTGAGTACCCCCTTATGTTCCCTGCTTGGCTCTGCACCTGTGAGGATGTCCTGACAGCAGTCCCAGAGGGAGGACACTACAATTATACCATGTGTCCTAGGGAAGCTGGGGCAGAGGGGTTCACTGACTGCCAGTATCACAGAGAGGAACCTGAATTCTGCACTGGAGACCATGCAGCCTTGGCAGGCCTCTACCCTACTACTCCCACACCTCCACATTTTAGTCCAGCACAGCAGAACAAGCCTGACAGGGTTCAAGTCTTGGCTCTGCCATGTTCCAGCTTTGTGGCCTTGGGGAGTCCCCAAGTTTTAGGGCTGGGATGTGGCTCAGTAGTAGAGCACTTGCTTAGCATGTATAAGAACCTAAGTTCAATCCCCAGCATTGCCAAAACAACAATAACAACAACAACAAAAAGGAACCTTAGTTTCCCCATCTATAAAATGGAGATGATACAAAGAGAGCCTTCCTCTTGGGTTATTGTGAAGGTTAAAAGAATAAATGCATGTGTGGGCTGTGGCTGTGGCGCAGAGGTAGAGCGCTTGTCTTGCACATGCGAGACCCTGGGTTCGATACTCAGCACCACATAAAAATAAATAAAGATGTTGTGTCCACGGAAAACTAAAAAAGTAAAAATATTTTAAAAAATCTATCTTAAAAAAATTTAAAGGGGCTGGGGATGTAGTTCAAGTGGTAGCGCGCTTGCCTGGCATGCGCAGAGCGCTGGGTTTGATCCTCAGCATCACATAAAAATAAAATAAAGATGTTGTATCCACCGAAAACTAAAAAAATAAATATTAAAAAAAATTCTCTTCTCTCTAAAAAAATAAAAAATAAAATATAAATAAATATTTTTTTAAAAAAGAATAAATGCATGTGAAGTCATAGCCATGGTTATTTATGTGGTACGCTGTCTTTCTGGCTAGGGTTAGGGTGGTGTGGGGGTAGGGCAACAAGATTGGCTAGTTGAAGGCCAAGGGCACCAGGCCCAAGCAGCCCAGTAATAGGACCCCTCCTATGGCACTGAAAATCACACCATGGAAAACACACAGCCACAAAAGATTGGCCTGAGCCTAGTTACATGGGCCCCACATCACCTGCCCTGAATGTGACCCATGTAGGCCCTGGTTCTGCCACCAGGCAAGATTCAGCAACCCTCCCCTGCAGCCACCTTCCCATCTGTAAAATGGGTTGGGAGGAACTGGAGGGCCATGCTTGCCTCACAACAGAATTGGTGGATCCTGATGTGTTCAGTGATGGATGTGACCTCACTTCCTTGGAATGTAAGTTATACATTAATGCATTCCAATGGTAACTATGGCTGAGCAGGGTGGTCACAAGATTCCTGAGAGTTCAAAGCCAGCCTCAGCAATGGGGAGGCACTAAGCAACTCAGTGAGACCCTGTCTCTACATGACATACAAAATAGTGCTGGGGATGTGGCTCAGTGGTTGAGTGTCCCTGAGTTCAATCCCTATTACTTTAAAAAAAAAAAAAAAGTAGCTATGGTTCCAGTGTGCTGAGGGGACAAGTTTTACCTGACCACTTTACAGGGATGGATTAGAAGAGATGGACATAATCAGAACAATCCTAGCACCCAGGTGCTAGGAGCCAGAACAAGGTGGTCTGATCAGGTCTAAAGAAGCTGGTCAGGGAGCACTTCCTGGAGGAGGGAGCACAAGGTGCACCATGATTTATGGAGAACCAGGAAGTTCTGAAATAATGACAGGTGGAAAAAGACAATGTAATAAAATAGCATTTAAGACAGACTGTGAGGTTGGGGTTGTGGCTCAGCGGTAGAGCGCACGCCTCACACGTGTGAGACTCTGGGTTCGATCCTCACTCAGCACCACATAAAAATAAATAAGTGAAATAAAGATATTGTGTCCAAATACAACTAAAAAAAAAAAAAACAACATAAATATTAAAAAAAAAAAAAAGACCTGGTATGTGATGTGTGGTGACGGGGTTGGAGGGAGTGAAGGGAACTGAGACTAAACTCCTCAAGCAGGTAAAGGTCTCCGAGCGAGCGGCTGAAAGCATGAATTGGGTTTTCTTTCTTGGGGAGGTGTCACCTAGAGGATCAGCTTAGGGAGCCCACGGATGGTTCGGAGACCCAGTGCCAGCGCGCGGCCCAGTTTGGCGTCACTCGGAGGTCCCAAGGATCACCCGGGATCCAGCCGCGGCCAGGGTAGTCCACGTGCAGGACTTATGAGTCCCATGAGCTTCTCCACGCCCGGAGACTTCCATCGCGACTCCAAGGCCCCTAGCCTAACCCTTGACCCCTGGCGGTTCCCCACCTGCACCGCCCGCTTGGGCGGTGCTGGGCGCCGCGGGCTCCCCGGCCGCAGTGCCGCCGCAGCGCCGGCCCCGCCCCCGCCCGCTCCTCCCCCCCCCCCCACCGCCCGGCGGCCGCGGCCCCATCGGTTCCAGAGCCCAGGCCAGCGCAGAGTCCAGGTGAGTGCCCACCTCTGGGACCCTAGACCCCGGAACCCCCGCGGCTCCACCCAGTGTCCGGGTCTCGCCGTCCCCACGCGTGCGCTCGTGGGTCCCGGACCTAGGGCCCCTGCGTTGGGGGCGGGGTGTCTGAAGCTTCGACCCAAGAGGTGGTGGACTGGAGCGCCCCTCTTCCTTATGCCCTCCTGTGCTGGCACTCCCTCCCGGCTTCCAGCAGAATCTTGCAGTGTGCCAGTACCCCCCTTCCTGGGCTGCAGGGTCTGGTGCCGGTACTGGGACACAGCCGGCAAGGCTGATGGAAACGGATTTCCAGAACGAGAGAACTGCACGTGCAAAAGCAGGGAGAGTGGACAGGTTGGCACCAGGGCTCCATGGGGAAGGGGCCAGAGCTGAGCCCCGCTTAACTTGAATGTAGGGGTGAGGAGCTCAGATGCCATCCCCAGTGTGCCTGAAAGCCCTGAAGGCCCAAGCTGGGCAGCCTGCCCACACCCGGGAAAAGTGGGACCAGGAAGGGGAGACAGCAGAGGAGTGGGGACTGACTCTGCCAAAGGTCCAAAGAGGCTCCTACCCAGCCTTACACCCTCTGGGACTCTGGATCCCTGGGGGGCAAATAGGAGCACCTTTGTGAGGTAGGGATAATTCAGTACCTCCCTCAGGGGTTAATGGGAGTCCCTGAGACAAGACACAAAGTCCTGGTGGGTAGTTAGCTTTGGGCACTCTTGGAACTTCACAGCTGTGGGCAACTTGTAGACAAGAGACAGCGGTCTTCAAAACTTGGGGGTGCCTTCTGCCATGATCATAGCAAGGACCTTTGCTTTTGAGTGGGGGTGACTGATCCAAGCTGGCTAGCACCCTGTAGGTGGAAAGCCTACCTGAGAGCCTCAACTCCTGGAAAGGTGGGGAACAGCCTGACCAAGCCCATAGTAGCAAGACCAGGTCTGACCATTTCTGGGATTTATGGTCCAGCAAGTGAGTCCTGAGACCAAGCAGGAAGAAGTGGGCAGGGCTGAGGCACAGGTGAACCCAGAAGCAGGGGAAGGGTTCCCTGGTGCTCAGGGAGGGGGCAGGTGGGGCAGGTGGCAGCTGAGTTTTATGGACATGCCTTGGTGACAAGTGGGGGAAAGAGCAAAGGTAACCTAGTGACTTTGGGTGCCTCCTCACCTGAAATGGATGTTTCAAGGGCAGGTAAGATCGGGCCAGGCAGTGGATGGGCCTTCCCCAACTTTGTCCTTCTTTCTTCCTGCTCTCCTTGCTCTCAGGCACCCACCCAAGGCCCTTCATGGAATCTGGACTAGATCAAGGGTACCTTAGCCCCACCTCAAATTAGACTTCAGGAAGAACTTCCAGGGGGGAAACAGAGGGGAATGGCAGTGGGATGGACTGAGGAAAGGTCATTTGTAAACAAGACAGTTACACTTTGTCCTGGGCCTTCCAAAGTCCATCCATAAGCTGCATCTTCCAGAAGACCCACCTTATGCCTTGAGGACACCTTTGCTGCACTGATCTATTGACTAGGTGCCCCATCCCCCCAGCCCAGTGCCTTACAGGGCCTTAGAGTAATGGGGGATCTCCTGAGGCCATGCTCTTCTTAGAACTAAGTCCGGGAAGGGGGTGGGAGGCCACACAAATTCCCCTACCTTCTGCTTGACCTTGATGAGACCTTGGCTCCTCAGTTTCTCAGACTTCTGTTGGGCATGACCTCAGTGCCACTGGGCCAGGGGTGGGGGTGGGGGAACCTTTATGGCTGCTAGGCACGGGCTGTGGCAGGGCTGTGTGCCTGGCTTCTTTCTCCCCCAACCCTATTAGTCCCGGGCTGGCCGCCGGCTCTTGTTCACCACAGAGCTGGGTTTCCCTGGGGACCAGTGGACTGGCCTAGCCCCACACTCCCGCCACAGCCCCTCCTGGCCACAGCTCACACTGGGAGGAGGGGTAGAGACTGAGCCACCTCCTGGACCCTGCCCTGCCTTTCAGGGCCTAGCAGCCTCCGTCCACTGCTGGGCTGAGAGGAAGGAATTGTGTTTGTTTTTGGAGGAGGTAGCTCTCCTGAGACTGCCAGCCAGGGTGGAGGTTGAGGCCAGAGGGAACCCTGTGTCACTCCCATTTGAGGAAGAAGAAATCCAAGGACCAGGAAGGCTCTAATTGCTCAAGGTAACCCAAGGTTTGACTCAAGAATGGTGGCCTCCTGGGCAAATAGATGGTCTCAGAGCTTCCTCCAAGACTGTAGGATTTGGAAAAGGGAAGTAGAGGGCTAGGGGCCTGAGGAGTCAGCAGAAACCGGGGATAATTTTTGGACAAGGCAGCCACGGGACTGGACAGAGAGTGGCCAACATTGGAACAGAAGGGGTCTCCTGACAGTGGGCATAAGCCATGTACAGGTGAGATGGGGGATGTGGGGTGCTGAGCCTCAACAGGCCTCAAAGGGGAGAAGCCCTTCAGGATCCCCTATATGCAAGACTTAGCTCAAATGTAGGACTCTCCCAGAAACCCCCACAGTCTGTGTCTCTGTGTCTCTGTCCTCCCTCCCCATGAAAGCTCCGTCCTAATATGGCCAGTCTCCCCTGCAGGTCCTAGAGGCAGTTCCAGCTGGCATGGCAACTCCAGCATCGCTAAGAGCAGCAGGAGACCCAGCCCCATGGGGGGCGCCCTAGACCTCCGACAGACCAACCATCTGTGGCCCTGCCTGCCTGCTGGTCCTCAGGTCACTCACCATGGGTGGCTGCTTCTCCAAGCCCAAGCCAGGTACCTCCTCCTCTCTTACTGCCTCCTCCCTCCCTCCTGCCTCTCTCTCTCTCCATTACCTTCCTCCCCCTCCCTTCTGCACTCTGCCTGCCTCCAAAGTAGGTCAGGCTAGGCAGGAGCCCCAGAATGTTAATGTGTTGAGATAGGAGGTGGGTAGGGGATCTGGAGAGGTTTTCCAAGTGCCCCCTCCAGTGATAGGCCCTCTTTTTGGAGGGGGCTTTGAGTGCTGGTGGTGGGAAAAGCAGCTGGATCTTTGGGGGCTTTGAGTGCTCGTGGTGGAATAGCAGCTGGATCTTTGGAAGGGGAGGAAAGGATTTCTCCCATGGCTGAGTTAGGAAAGGGGGGCTCTAGGAATGCCTTTGGCTACTGTGTGACCTCTCTGAGCCTCAGTTTCCCTCTCTTTAAAATGATTCTACCCTCCCTGACCTCTTGAAGTTGCTGAGACGGTACAGTGGGCAGGTTCCTACCAAAGAATGTCCCTACCTCTTCTCAACCCTTCTGAAACTTAGGCTGTCATCTGGACATGCTTTCCCATTTATACAAGAAATTTTTGCCATGTCTAAATCAGCTGGCTCTACCCAGGGTGCTAGGGGAATCCACATCTACTTTCCACTGGAGACCCTGTCTGTGGGGCTCTCCTTCAGGCCCCCAATTTCCTCTTCCTTCCTCATAACATCTCAGGAGGTAGGGCATGCAGATATGTCACAAATAAAGAAATTGAGGCCTCAAGAGTCCTCTAGAACTCAGACAATGCTCCACCCACATTTATGCAAGCCACCCTATCCTGGGCAACTTGCCCCTGCCAGCTCACCCCAGCTCCCTTTACCTGATACCCATCAGCTCCATTACCTTGGAACTTGTGAGCCTTTTCTTCTTTTCCTGGGTTCAAGGGAGAAGTTGAGGTAGGGAGGAGAGATGTTTATGCCCTACCAGTCAGGGGGACCCACCTGCACCTGTCCCAAAAACCACACTCCCCCTTTGCGCTGCTGTGCTGTGAACAGCCAGATCTGGGCCAGGTCCCACCACCTTCTTGTTTGGAAATATAGCTTAGGAAAATGACGTCCACTGTCTTTACCTCAGCCTTCTCCCAATAGAAACAGACAGAGGGATGCTAGCTGGCCCCAAACTGGGCACCTGTGGGACTGCTGGGCTGGCAGGAGGTCCTGGGCAAAAGATGTCACCTATAAGTTCTTTCAAAGGACCCCCAAAGGGCTGGCCTGCCTGGGTCCCCTCACCCTAGTATTTCCAATATGGGGTCTAGATATAAGAACTTGGGCTCTTTTTTTTTTAAGATTTTTTTTTTTTTTGAGAGAGAGAGAGGTGTGGGGGAGAGAGGGAGAATTTTTTTTTTAATATTTATTTTTTAGTTTTCGGTGGACACAACATCTTTGTTTGTATGTGGTGCTGAGGATCGAACCCGGGCCACACGCATGCCAGACGAGCGGGCTACCGCTTGAGCCACATCCCCAGCCCCAGAACTTGGGCTCTTGAGCCTCAACTCAGCCGTACGGCTTCCAGGCTGTGTGGCTTTGGGCAGGTGATCATACCTCTCTGATCTACTTTTTTCTCATGTGTAAAGTGAGGTTGTGCTTAGCACAGGACCTTGCACTCAGGAAGCACTTTTAAAATAGTATCGGCCCTTTTTCTCTGAGCTGGATTTCCTGCTGCCAGGATTCCCCTGTGGAGGCACAGTCCCCAGGTGCTTAAGCTAGACAGGTCAGGTGTGAGGCCTAGGGAATTTCAGGGTGTAGGAATGAGAGTTCAGCTGGGGTGAGCAGGGACAATAGAAAGACCCTGGTTCTGTGCGTGAGCAGATCCCCCCACCTACCCTTCTATTGCTGCTCCTGACTTAATGTCTTCCCGTTAGACTTGCTTCAGTGAGTGTGCCTTGGAGCCTTCTGGCAGGAGGTGGAGGATGAAAACTGACTGGCTTGGCTGTTATCTGGCACTCCTGCCAGGCTGTTCCTGTGGACTCCCACAGCTGTCATAGCTGATGTCAGCTGAGTCTGAAGTATTTTTCTTTTTAATTCTTCCAAAAACATTCTAACACCATTACATAAAGTGTGGAAAATGGGAGGAAACTCCCCACTGGACAGGACGACCTTGTGTGGCTATGTGCTCATACACTCTTCCTACCAGTCCCAGTCATGAACTGACCCTTGCCACTATCCCCTGCCTCGCCTGGGCTGAGCTGGGGGATGGGACATACAGATGAAGGGCAGGAGGTCTAGACAGAGTGGGGAATTAGCTCAGAATGAAAGGAGGGCCTTGCAGGAGCTGGGTTGCCATGGGAGGCAGCACCAGAGCTGTGTCTGGGTATGGGGGTAGGAGTTAGCCAAGGCCTAGAAGAATGGCAGCCCAGGCCAAGCAAATGGTGCAGGCAAAGGCCAGGGTATGTGACTCAGCATCCACCCGGGGTTCTTGGGTCTTTTTTGTTTTTAGGAGTGTCAGGTCTGAAGTAGAAGGGAGCAGAGGTCTGGAGGCTCTGGTTCCTTGAGAGAGGCACCTCCTGCTCATGCTGTGCCAGAGGCTTAGTTTCCTCCCTGCTGCAGCAGCCCAGGAAGCCGGATTATCACTGCTAAAAATTCTGTTTATTGTTCCCTTCTAATTAGAAAAATACCCCAGGCATGTCATAGGGAATTTGGAAAATGTGGGAAAGTATAAAGAAGAAAGTGACAGTCTTTGGCTACTTCCTAAAGTAAGCCACGTGGGTATACTGAGAAAATGTCTTCTGTGTGGAGGCCATGGAAGGGGGCCCTCTGTGCCTTCTGCGCTGTTCAGACCTGTCTACATGTACCTTTACCTCATGGAATTCATTCACTCCCAGGGCCCCAGACCCGTACGTAAAGACACCGAAACCCAGGACTTGGGAAATGATGAATGAATCTCAAACTGCTGAGAATAATTATTTTAAGAAGTTGAAGCCAGGCACAGTGGCACACACTTGTAATCCCAACAGTTTGGGGGACTGAGGCAGGAGGATTGCAAGTTCAAGGCCAGCCCCAGCAACTAAGTGAGGCTCTAAGCAACTTGGTGAGATTCTGTCTCAAAATTTTAAAAAATTTAAAAAAGGATTGAGTGATATAGCTTAGTGGTAAAGTGCCCTGCTTTAATCCCCAATACAAAAAGAAAATGTTGGAATTTGTGTGTGTGTGTGTGTGTGTGTGTGTGTGTTGGTGGTGATACTAGGAATTAAACCTAGAGCTTTCCACACTCTAAGCAAGCATTCTGTCACTGAGCTAAATCCCCAGCTCTGTCCATATTTTTTTAATTTTGAAAAAACCATTTAAATCTATGGTAAATTTACAAGAATAATACAATGAATCCTTAATTTCTAATCATCCAGATTCACTGTGAACTGAGCTGCACCCAGTTTGGGACCTCATATTTGTATGTACATGAATCATCCCCTAAATGTGTCCCTGAGCTGCTAGGGACATTGTTGTCCATCTGAACACGTATGACACAAGACATCAAGGTTATTTCCTCCAGAGATCCTGGAGGGGAGGTTTAGGGTTGGAAGAAACTCTGTTCTGTGACCCTCTCATTAATTTTGACATCGAAAAAGAAAATGTGCAGAACTGCTCAGTGATACAGCATTTATGTAGATGCACAAGTTCCTGGGTTTGATCACCAGCACTGGATAAAAAGAATAAAAAATAAAGAAAGAAAAGAAAAACTGCAGAAATGAATTCAGGCTGACCAAGAAATCCCCTTCTTATGCCCTTCCTCCTCTGTCTCTTTGCTGGGGTACACAAGGCTTTCTGGAGAAATTGAGGGGAAGGGCTGAGCCTCCTGAAACTCAGAGGGCCTGGCCTCTGCCCCCAGATTTTGGGGTGGGCAAGAAGATGGGGTGGGCAAGAAGATGGGGTGGGCTGAGGGGCTCATGATATGGCCCTGCCCACAGTGGAACTCAAGATTGAGGTGGTGCTGCCTGAGAAGGAGCGGAGCAAGGAGGAACTGTCGGCTAGCGGAAAGGGCAGCCCCCGGGCCTACCAGGGCAATGGCACAGCCCGTCACTTCCACACTGAGGAGCGCCTGCCAGCCCCCCACCCCTACCCTGGCCCTCAGGACTGCGTGGAGGCTGCCGTCTGCCATGTCAAGGACCTGGAGAATGGCCAGTGGGTGCTGGGCCTGGGAGGAGGGATCAGAAGGTCCAAAGTGGGAGGGCAAGGGAGAGGCCATAGATGAGGAGAACTAAGGTGAGGGGATTTGGAAGGGCCTATGACCTGCTTCTGCCCTAGTCATGGTCCTTGGGCTTCTGATGTTCTGGGCCTGCTACCCATGAGGCTGGACACTAAGAAGAAGTGCCCCCAGGAGGAGGTGCCTGTTGTCTGTCCTGACCTCTGAGTGCAGCCTTTCCCCAGGATGCGGGAAGTGGAGCTGGGCTGGGGGAAGGTGTTGCTGGTGAAAGACAACGGAGAATTCCATGCCTTGGGCCACAAGTGCCCACACTACGGAGCACCCCTGGTGAAAGGTGAGAAGTCCAGGGGTGCGTATGGGAGGCGGGGGTAGGACCTTCCTATAGGGGGCTTGGCTACTGCACCATCCATGCCCCTGTCCTACCAGCCCCCGGGGTCAATTTGACTCTTCCCTAGGCCCTGGGTCCTCATCTAATAGTGAGGTCTCCTGGGCTATGAAGTGGACCAGAAGGTGCAAGGATCCTTGGAGAAGAGCCCCCGATAGTAGCTCCAACCTAGTACCACACTGTTCCAGGAGTGTTATCCCGTGGCCGGGTGCGCTGCCCCTGGCATGGTGCCTGCTTCAACATCAGTACTGGGGACCTAGAGGACTTCCCAGGCCTGGACAGTCTGCACAAGTTCCAGGTGGGGCTGGGAGTGTGGTATAGTGGGAGCCTGGGAGCACAGAGTTGGGGGCTTGAAGCACTCCAAAGTCTGATCCTGAGCAGTACTGCCCTTGCAGGTGAAGATTGAGAAGGAGAAGGTGTATGTCCGGGCCAGCAAGCAGGTGAGGAGTGGCTCATGGCTCAGAGGTGGGGAGGGCATCTTGACTCAGAGAATAGCTTGTTCAAAGGCCCTGCAGTGGGAGAAAGCCTGGCATGTGTGACTACGAGCAGAGTGAAGGGCTGCATGATGGGGAGTGGCTGGGCTAGAGTAGCAGAACCTGATCTGCTGAGATAACCCCAAATGCACCCCACCCCCAGGCCCTGCAGCTGCAGCGAAGGACCAAGGTGATGGCCAAGTGTATCTCTCCAAGTGCTGGGCACAGTGGCAGCACCAATGTGCTCATTGTGGGTGCAGGTTAGTATTGAGGTCATGATAAGGAGGGTGGAGGTGGATGGTAGGAGGTAAGTTGTCTGTTGGTTATGGCCTCCTCCCTTCAGGTGCTGCTGGCCTGGTGTGTGCAGAGACACTGCGGCAGGAGGGCTTCTCGGACCGGATCGTCCTGTGCACGCTGGACCGGCATCTCCCTTATGACCGGCCAAAACTCAGCAAGGTGTGGCTTTAGGGCAAACAGTAACCAGGCACAGGACAGTCAGCACAACACAAGGCCTGAATCCTTAACCCTCTGGGTCCCTGGTCCAGCCCACTTGGAGCCTTGCTTGTCACCTCTTCAGAGTCTGGCCAGCTGCCAGCTACACTCAAATCTGGCTTACCTGTGGTGCCCCCAAAAGATCTCAGTTTGTTGAGTTTTATCCCACAGCCCACATGTAACTCAGGGCTGGCCTCACCCTTCCTGGGGTCCATGTCCTTTGGTATAAAATGGAACAATGGTAGCTTGACGCTGTCTCATATTGGCTGTATCCTGCAGTCCCTGGATGCACAACCTGAACAGCTGGCCCTGAGACCCAAGGAGTTCTTCCGTGCCTATGGCATCGAGGTGCTCACTGAGGCTCAGGTACGAGATTGAGGATGGTAAACTGGCCAGAGAATGGGTTAGTGGGAACCGTGAAGAGCATTGGGCCATATGGACCCCTGGGAGTGTTCTACCCTTCCAGTTTCACTGCCCAGGCCTGGGGAGCAGCACCGGACCATCTTATTAGCAGGATCATGAGCACACACAGGGCCTAGGGAGAGAGAAGATCTCATTCCATCAGGGATGGGAAAGTCTGGTAGGACTTGGGAATATGTAGAGGGCTTTGAGAAGAAGGTGATGTTTTAAGCTTGAAAACTGAATCCTAGGCAGTGTGGGAACAGACCTCACGGGACATGCTCAGATCTGGCTGGGATCTGGGCATGTTGCAGGACTCAAAAGTGGATGACAAGACACAGGTCCATATCCAGGTCAGCACTTTACCTGTCGGGGGTTGCAGGTGGTCACAGTGGATGTGAGAAACAAGAAGGTCGTGTTCAAGGACGGCTTCAAGCTGGAGTATAGCAAGCTGTTGTTGGCGCCAGGGAGCAGGTGGGAGGGTGTCTTTATTGCCCTCCTTCTACACTGGGTGGGGCACCAGCCACAATGGGAGGGTCTCACTGAGGCTGCCATATCTCAGCCCTAAGACCCTGAGCTGCAAAGGCAAAGAGGTAGAGAACGTGTTCACTATCCGGACGCCTGAGGATGCCAATCGTGTGGTGAGGCTGGCCCGGGGCCGCAACGCAATTGTCGTAGGAGCTGGTTTTTTGGGTGAGAAGCTGGGGGTGGCAGGGTGGTGGGCAGGCTTTCATAGCCAGTCCCTGGGCATGCTGGATCTAGGAGGTGCAGGGTACAAGATCTGCCAGCCCCTGCCCATCATCTCAGGTATGGAGGTGGCTGCCTATTTAACTGAGAAGGCCCATTCTGTATCTGTGGTGGAGCTTGAGGAAACACCCTTCAGGAGGTTCCTGGGGGAGCGCGTTGGCCGTGCACTCATGAAGGTAAACCTACCTCAATCCCTTGTCCCTTGATATCCTGAGTGTCTAGTCTAGCCCCTGACCAGGCTCTCATCCATTGCCCACCTGCCCTGACAGATGTTTGAGAACAATGGGGTGAAGTTCTATATGCAGACAGAGGTGTTGGAGCTGCGGGCCCAGGAGGGAAAGGTGGGCCTTTCTCCTCTCTTTGCTGCTTTCTGTCTTCTCTCCCTGAGCCCAGTAGCTGGTCCTATCTGCTCACGCACCCACCCACTCCCTACAGCTGAAGGAGGTTGTACTGAAGAGCAGCAAGGTCATTCGGGCTGATGTCTGCGTGGTGGGCATTGGTGAGTGGATGGGCAGGTGGGCATGAATGATCAAAGCCACCTGCACAAGTTCACAAATGACCTTGAGTTAGCCCCTTCTCCTCCCTGAGCCTTAGTTTCCACATCTTTAAAATGGTGACCCCAACAGTACCCACTTTCTAGGGCCATTGAAAAACACACATACCTGGCTTAGCCCAGGCCCTGCATGGAGCATGTGCTCAATGACTGCTGCAGACTAATAATCAACTCCATGCCCTGCTCTATGTTGGATGAAGAACACAAACTTCTTACTGTTCCTACTCCACCAGAAGTGGCAATTTGGAGAAGTGCAAAGCTGGGAAGTAGCAGCACAGGGGTTGGAGAAGCATGGCCTCCTGACCCCTCCAGGGGGCTTCAAGGAGTGCTTCTTGTAGAAGGCAATATTTGAGGCCTGATGGGAGGCACAGGTGTCTGTGGAGTGCAGGCAAAGGGGACAGTATGCATGAAGCCCCATGGTGGGAAGCCTGTGGATGTGATATCTGGGGTAAATACAGCAGGTGAAGGGTGTGGAACACAGAGAGCAGTGAGGCCAAAGAAGGGTGGAACCAGAGTGTGGACATGGCAGCCTCTGTCCTGCTAGGTGCGGTGCCTGCCACGGGTTTCCTGAGGCAAAGTGGCATTGGTCTGGATTCCCGAGGCTTCATCCCTGTCAACAAGGTGGGGCTGGGTGGGGTGGGAAGGGTGCTGGGCTGGGGGTGGCCAGAGGTATAGGTCAGTCCCCTGTCCTATCCATGAAGCTCTGGCTCTCTCTTCACAGATGATGCAGACCAATGTCCCAGGTGTGTTTGCAGCTGGTGATGCTGTCACCTTTCCTCTTGCCTGGAGGAACAATCGGAAAGTGAACATCCCACACTGGCAAATGGCTCATGCCCAGGGTATGGCCAGCCCTGAGGCAAGTTGGGGGGCTATCCTAGGGTTTCAGCCTCCCCCAGGATCATGCTTCAGTTGGTCTGCTTTCCTGGATCCTATGTTATGCATTCAAGGCTCTCTAGTGGCCTCACAGCTGGCCTCATCCAGGTGATCAAACCAGTTTACACAGCAAGCTCTGTGGCTCATCTCCAGAGACTCTCTTTCAGAACCATCTGGATGTACCATTTAGCCAGGGTCAACCTCCCATCCTAGTTTTCCTTCCACTAGTCTCCTTTCCTTTTGTCTTCAAGGATACATCCCACAGAATTTCTGACTTACCTGTACAGTCAGGTCTCTCCTCTGAGGGAGAGAAGGATTTAGTAGGCCAGCTTTCCAGTCAGTGCTTCTATCTCCCTTGGACTAATCAACGATCTCTATAAACTCAGTTGTCTTCTGCAGGCCCCATCTAGTCCAGGCTCAGTGGGCACACTGTTTCTGTGGAATAGCTTTCCCTTCTTCACACCACTAACCATTAATTCCCCAAACCTCACCCACTGCACACACCTGGTCTGGGCCCCAAAGCTAGAGGGGCCAGTAAATTAACCAACTCAGTGCCTCAGAGAGGAACTCCAGACTCCCAGCCTATGATGGGTACTAGCTCCTGCACCCAACTTCCCTTTCCTCTGCGTTTGCCATTATCTGAAGGTCTGAAACCCCACTCCTAGAACTGATTTCTATTCAAGTTTTCAAGGTCTAAAGTGGCTGCTATGTTGTAAGGAAACAGCCAAATATAATTAGAATTCAGAATTTAATTGGGAGGGTCCAGAGTATTCTGATATATATCCAGCTTTGGGTCCAATGGGGGCATATAGAAACTGGAAAGTCACCCCTGCTATTCTCTTGGGGTCCTGCATGTGACTGTCATTTTTGCTTCCCTGGCTCTTGTGCTCCCTTCTCCTCCCTCTTCGGTCCTAATGTGTCTGATTAAGTTGTCTATGTGCATAAGTGAAATGGTGAAGCAGCCCACAACCCCATGAGCAGACCTTCCAGAGAGGCAGGGCATGTCTGTCATTCAAGTTTTCCAGAGAAGCAACCTAGTAACTAGCTTGGAGCCAGGTGTCTCCTTGGTACCTCAGGAGGGCCACCGCCTGTGTAACAATGTATTTCTTGATCTCTAGGGGATCCAGGAATAGCAGCTATTCCTGATAGGGGTCCCTAGAGTGCTGGGGCAGGCGATGTCAGGATGGTGAGGGCAAGGGTCAGGGTTCACGTGGCCATGGGTTCTGCAGGGCGGGTGGCAGCCCAGAACATGCTGGCTCAGGAGGCGGAGATCAGCACGGTGCCCTACCTGTGGACTGCCATGTTCGGCAAGAGTCTGCGTTATGCGGGTAACAAGATCCTCGGATGGGGTGGGGACTGAACTGTTTTAGGGGTGGGACCATGATGGCTCTGGGAAGAAGCAATTAGGAACTCTCTGGGGGAAGGCCTAGGGACTACCTAAAAGAAGTAAACAATCGGGGAGGATGTCCTGAGAGGAGTTAAGAAGGCACAGGGTAGGGAATTTGTGAAGTCCATCTCCTTCCCTGGCTTATGTGGCATCACCTACCTGTTCGGCCCTACAGGCTACGGAGAAGGCTTTGACGACGTCATCATCCAAGGGGATCTAGAGGAGCTGAAGTTTGTGGCTTTTTATACCAAGTGAGAACAACTGGGTGCAATGGGGGTACAGAGCTGCTCGTTTGGGAATGGAGAGTCATCCCAGAAAAGTGCTCCTGAGGAGGGGGCTTAGCTAAAAAGGTGGAACAAGTGGCAAAGGGAGGCAGACAGCTGGGCAGGAGGCACTGCAGAGGAAAGGTGAGGAAGAGATCAGTAATAACTGACTTTGTTGTGCATTGGGCCAGATGAGTTATCTTCAAAACAGCTCTTTGAGGTGGGTGTTGACAGCCCACTTACAACAAGAAAAGCCACATGACAATGGTGGTGTCAGAACAGGACCCTAGTCCTGAGCCCTGCTGAGGATTAGAGCTTCCCTAGAGAAATCTGATGCCTGTGCTGGGACAAATAGGGAGGGATAGGTGCTCAGGAAATTCCTGTGACCCCAGGAAAGATCCCTCCCTGGGTCCCAGTGATGAGGAGTGTGTCTTCAAGAAGGAAGGCTTTTGCCAAGCAGCACTTAGGCTTAGCCACCCTCTCTCTGCAGAGGTGATGAGGTGATCGCTGTGGCCAGCATGAACTATGATCCCATCGTATCCAAGGTGGCTGAGGTGCTGGGCTCTGGTCGTGCCATCCGGAAGCGGGAGGTGGAGTGAGTGTGGGCTTGGGAGGTCTTGGGGTGAAGGAAGGAAAGCCCTGAAGGATTGGCTTAAGCTGTCATGGCAGCCAATGTCTCCTAAGTTATCCAGGACCCTCACTCTTGCTCCCCATTTGTCTGAGGTTTCCAGGGCTAAGAGGGCAGAGATTATACTTTGAGAGAAAGCTGGTGTACTCAGAGGGGAGAGATGGGAAAGGGGTGTGTGTCCCAGGGCATCACCACTGCTGCAGGGAGAGTGAAGGTCCACTGCTTGCATCCAAGTACCTCTCCAGCCCTGGTATCCCTCACTGAATGTGGTTTTTCTTACCCTAGTAGAAACACAGCTAGTGATGCCCTTGGGTACACCCTGTATAGAGATGTGGGGTGGTTATGTGGGGCCTGGGAGGCACTGGACGCCAGCCATTAACCTCATTCCAGTATGGTTCCAGTGAGAGTCCTCTGTGTACAGAGAGCTCCTAGGGACTGGGGAAAGCCTGCAGGCCACTAGGGGGCTGGAGGTTATGGGTCATGCTAGGCCTTAGTCTGGAAATAGACATGACGAATGACATACTCTCCCTGGCCTTCTGTTTTTCCCTCTTGGCTTCACAAAGGCTGTTCATGCTGCACAGCAAGTATGTGTGTCCTCTGTCCTTATTATTAATCATTCTGAACCTTTCCCACTTCAGCCCCAGAGCCTCTACTCAATGATCTACCCCTCTCTGCCTAAGTACATTTCCCTGCTGGGCACCAAGGACAGAGCAGACCACTCTCTATTCTCAAGAGTCAGCTGCTCACGGTGCCCAGAGCAGGGAACCTGCCTTCTTCTTCCCTTATCCTATCTCTCCTCATTCCTGCAGGACTGGCGACATGTCTTGGCTCACAGGGAAAGGATCCTGAGTTCGAGTGTAGTGGACTTGGGCAGGCATGCTGGGGTACAAGGAACAAAGGCCAAGCCCTGGGGGCAGGTGCCAATCTCCAGTTTCCCAGCATCCAGGGCAGAATTTGAGCCCTCCCAATGCTTGCCTTTGGCTGCCTGGATCCCTTCCAGGACGGCCTCTGCTGCCTCCAGAAGATGCTCACCCATCAGGGCCTCAGCATCCACTGACATCTGGCACTGGAGGTGGGACAGGCCCTGTCTCTTTTCCCTCTGTTGGGACTGGTCCCCTGGAGGACCCTGCAACATGTTAGACATTATCTTAAAATTAAAATGCACACATTTGCAGATCTGTGTGATTCCAGTGTAATTGGGCCAACACAAGGACAAAAGCAGACCACATGATAAACAGGTTCACCAAGGAAGTTAAGCTTGTGAGCACCCTAAGGAGGTAGCAACTGATGCTCTTCTTTCCACAAGGTCAGGGAAAGTATCTCCAACAAGTGCCTTTGGATCTTAATTTGAAAAGAAGAGCATTTAAGTAAAAAGGGACAGCACGTGCAAAGGACTTGGGATAGAACATACATGTTTCTTCAGAGGTCAGCTGCAGCTCATGCCTAAAACTTTGGGGGCTCTAGGAGCTGGGTCCTAAGACAGATACCATGCTTTTCATAGCACTTGGAGCTTTCTGAATCCTCGTTTAGCAGGTGAAGAAGCAAAGGGTCTGCTATTAAGTGGAATAAGAAGTCTGAGGCGCTGAGCTAGACTCGCTTCCCAAAGGGGAGATAAGGCAGCCGGGGGCTGGGGGCGGAGGAAGGCGGGGCGGGTGGAGGCTGGTCTCGAAGAGCAAGCAGGAAGAGAACAAACAGCTCGGCCGCCAGCGACCCGGAACCCTCCATCTAGGATCCCAGAAGCTGCAGACGATCTAAGCAGGAGCCACGCGTAGGCGCAGGGCATGCCGGGAACTTCGAGTCCGCCGCCGCTTAAGGTTAACCGGCGGGGTGGGCCTGGAAGGCGCCGGGAAGTGCAGTCCTGACAGATTGGGGTGGAGCCATCGCATTTACTGGAAGGGGAAACCTAGGCCCTGTATTTCGCCAGAAGTGCTTTCCGCAATGTTACACGCTCCCGGCAAGGTCGGCCACCACATTCCACACTTACCCCAGCTGTCATGAGGAGTGCTAGACTCGTCGGGAAGTGTGGGTTGCCTTAATCGTGACGCTGGCCGGAGGTGCGGCGCCGTTGGCGCAGGGCTCGCTGGGAAATGTGGTCCCTTCTGGCGGTCGGGGCGGTGGCCGCCAGACCTGCAGACAGGGTGGCCAATCCGGCGTGCACCCGGGATGTCTGGGCCGGGTGGCTCCGGGGGCCCGATCGGGGCCGGGGCCCTGGCAGGTGGGGCGCGCTCCAAGGTAGCTCCGAGTGTGGACTTTGACCACAGCTGCTCAGACAGTGTCGAATACCTGACGCTCAACTTCGGGCCCTTCGAAACAGTTCATCGGTGGCGGCGCCTCCCGCCCTGCGACGAGTTCGTGGGTGCCCGGTACGGCGGGATTCTGAAAGCACTGGGAGTGAGGAGGTCCCAGGATGGGGCCTTGGGGCGAGGCTCGGGCGTCAAGTCCTGGAGTAGAATCTGGTAGTGGGTCGGGTGGTGTCCAGGGCAGAGAAAGGTCTTTCTAGGTAATCCCCAGAGTTGGGTGACTCTTATTTCTCTATAGTAGGGGTCCCACTAGCTTTATGGTGGGGTGGGAAGTCTAGAAAATCCTCTGGTGGTGTCGAGCATCCCCATGTACAGGGTCCTTTGGGGTTGTGGTGGAACGTAGGTCTCTGTAGATCTTGGCAGTTGAGAGATATTTTCTAACTTCTGTGGCAGTACCACAGGTAGTCCCATTCCTTGGGTGCCACCCACTAGTGTCCTGGCTTTACCACCATCCACCTCTTTTTTCTTTCTAGGCGCAGCAAGCACACAGTGGTGGCCTATAAAGATGCCATCTATGTATTTGGTGGGGACAACGGGTGAGTCTAAGTATCAGGTGTTTGGACCAGGTAGGGAGAAGCAGTGTGGTCTCAGATTGGACCTGTGGAGCTCCACTGCTATCTTTCCAGACATTAGCTAAGTACTGTAAGCTTTAGTTTACCCTCGTTGGGGTTACCTGCATTTACGTTGCAGATTGTGGTGAGAATTAAATGAGATCCTGCCCTCAAGTCCTCCTCACACCATTTGGTGGGTAGCGCATGCTCAGTCCCTCTTGTTTTGAGTGAGTAGATGTAGCTTTTTTTTTTTTTTTACTACTTTTATTTTATTTATTTATTTTTATGTGGTGCTGAGGATCAACCCAGCGCTTCACCCATGCAAGGCGAGCACTCAGCTGCGGAGCCACACCACAGCCCCAGATGTAGCTTTTTTAAAAATATATACTTTTTAGTTGTTGATGGTCCTTTATTTTATTTATTTATATGCAGTGCTGAGAATCAAACCCAGTTCCCCACACTAGGTTCGATTCTCAGCATGCTAGGCAAGCACTCTACCACTGAGTCACAACCCCAGCCCTAGATGTAGCTTTGAAAAACACATATGTACCCTTGCTGCCAGCCTTGCCAGTCACTTTTTTCTTTCCCCAGACTTCCCTCTGGGCTTTATCCACATGCTTACTCTGCAGCCAAAAAGTATGGAGCAGTTTTATTTATTTTGTACATCTTCCACTTTTTTGTGAATGTTTTCCTGTATTGCATAGACTCCTAGCAAATAACTTGATAATGATCTAATGTTCAGTTGGTGGGCACACCTCCATTCACATGAACTGCCACCAGTTAAGTTGTAGTTAGTTTCTCTGTGCTGAGGGTGGAGTGTCTATACATTATCCATCCTGCTCATGAGTCCTAGTTCTGCCTCTCAGCCTCAGAACCTGGCCTGAAGCCCAGAAAGGGCATTGTTGGGGTTGGGGATTTAGCTCAGTGGCAGAGCGCTTGTCTAGCACGCGCAAGGCCCTGGGTTCGGTCCTCAGCCCTGGAAAAAAGAAAAAAAAAAAAAAAAAAAGCCAGAAAGGGCATTGCAGCCTTAGTCCTATAGGACTCCTTGGGGGCACTGACCTGAGGTTGGAGGGGTAATTTGCAATCATATCACGACCTACACACTAGACAGAAGGGCCTCCTTGGCCATGACCCCCTGGTATCCAACCTGTTTCTGCTAGTCTCTTTTCCCAAGGGCAGTCAGGGGGATCTATTTACAAATACAAGTCAAAGTATATTCCTCCTCAACTCATAACCTTGTGACATCTCTCTACCTCTCTGAATAGAAGCCCAAGTTCTCATGACAGTCTGTGATGCCTATACACTTGTGCCTCCCACTGTTCCTCTGCCTATTCCTTTGCTGCACAGGGCCATTGTGGCTGCTTTGATACCTTTAGATTGTTCCCAACATGCTCCTACAATAGCTCTTTGCATTGGCCATTCCCTCCTTTTCACACTTCCTGCCTCTCTTCTGATCCTCCCTTTGAGTAAGGCCTTTCTTCACTTCCTTTACCTTTTGCCACCTCCATTTGTCCCTGAAGCACACAGATGTTGGATATAATCTGTGTCCTCTGCTATGTCAAGGCCTGTGCTCCTTTCATCCCAGTATCCTAGCACCTAGACAACTCAATAAATGTCAAAAAGTGGGATGAAATAAGAAAGTGGCATCTACTCAGAGATATTTATTGGAGCCTTAACAAGAATCTCCCAAACCAAAAAAGGACTTGATGTCAATCACAGGGTAGTAGGTGGGAAATGGGGAACCTCTGTCCTCAGGAGTATTCTGTTGTGGGTAGTTGTGTAATAACTATGGAGCAATAAGTAGAATAGTCTTTGCTATGATGTGTCAAAAGATAAAATCACCGCAGGGCTGGAATTGTGGCTCAGTGGTAGAGTTCTTGCCTAGCATGTATGAGGCACTGGGTTCAATTCTCAGCATTGCATATATATAAGTAAAGGTTCATCAACAACTAAAAAAATTTTTTTCAATAATATAAAATTACAACTAATTAATTATAGAGCTCTTTGGCTTTTATTTTTTATTCATGAATTGAGGCAGCCTCCATTCTACAGATTAGAATGAGAGTTCTCACTGGACAAGAGCAACCCAATGGATCTTGTAAGGTGGGAACAAGGAAACTGAACAAAAAGCTGATTGGTTAACATTAGGTTACTTCAGGTTACCTTTTTTATAAGGGTTAAAGCAGAGGGGATTTCCTTATTACACTAAAGGAGGTAGACTGGAATTAATTGTTTTTAGGAAAAACTGATCTGTATTGGGATCTCTCTGCTTCTTTAAAGTTCCAGTTTATGAAGCATTTGGCATGAATACCTTCTATTTTGGTTTGGTTTCTAGCTTCCCATAATTTTTTTTTTTTTTTTTTTTTTTTTTTTTGGTGCTGGGGGTTGAACCCAGGGCCTTGTGCATGCAAGGCAAGCACTCTACCAACTTAACTATATCCCCAGCCCAGTTTTTTCTTTTTTTTCTCCCATATTTTTGTTCAACAAAGGAGACACTAAGAAACAGGTTACAAGGTGTTGTATATACAAAGCATGATGATGCATGCCTATAATCCCAATGATGACTCTGGAAGCTGAAATGAGAGGATTGAAAGTTTGAGGCCAGCCTCAGCAATTTAACAAAATGTTGTTTCAAAATTTAAAAAAAAGAGAAGGAAACAGGAAATTTATCTCCCTTAGGTTGCAACTCTGTAGCTTGCCAGTAGACTGTCAGATCAACGAGATCAAAGAAAGATGGCCTCCTCCTGGGGCAGGATTGGGGATGGGGTGGGGAAAAAAGGAGGATGGGAAGGAATTAGCCACAACATTAACTTGCCAGCTCCTGAATTCCTGGCTGTATGGTCTCAGACACAACCTTTTTTATTTTTAAAAAATTTTTTTAGTTGTAGTTGGCACAATGCCTTTATTTTATTTATTTTTATGAAGTGCTGAGGATCGAACCCAGCGCTTTACCACTGAGCCACAACCCCAGCCCCCAGGCACAACCTTTTATCTCCCAGGCTGTTTGTTCTTCTATAAAATAGAGTTTGGAGGTCACCCATCTAGTATAGATGGAATGAGACCGCAGGGGGCACCTGGCATAAGTCCTACCTAAAGCTGGTGCTGGGCTCCTGTTGGTTTGCAGCCCTGTAAGGTGGTACAATGGCCAGTGAATTTGTTTCCCATTTTATTGTATATTTAATGTAATTGTTATATTGGTTTTGCAATTAATAAAGAGATGTTAGAAAGATCAGAGAGAGGCAGAGAAGCATCTCATTGTGGTGGTGCAGCATCTGAGGGAAGGAGGTTAAGGCAAGTGAGTGGGGATTCTTGAGGCTGGGGTGAA